TTCAAAAGAACATCCCTGAGTGTTGAGCGAGTTTTAAATATCGAGAAGCACTTAACTTTGGAAAACAAATCCATCAGATTTTGAAGTCCCAACCTATACAGTTTCTTCTTATACCACGAGTTTCCGATTACCTGATGTAATTGCCTTTTTAAATCCTTCTTCTTTTTTTATAGAACTTTCAACTCAAGTTTTATTAGCTTGAGCACCCCACCCTCTTCCAACTTCTTCTTTAAGTCCCTAATCCTTCCTACTTCATTTCCCCGTCTGATTGTACTCGATCCGACCTCCCATCTCACCACACTCCATTCCTGTCCCCAAATCCTACCCCGTTCCGTACTATACGTTTTCCCTCCCACCCATACTTTTTTACATACGTCAACCAGTTTCACACTTTGTATCTCTAGGTTATCAAACACAATCGACCGCTCGTTTCGTACATTACATGTCCTTCCCCTCTTCCTCTCCTTCCTTCCCTTCCAATTTTTCTTCATTTTCGACCTCCTCACCCCCTTTGCGTTTAAAGTTGGCGTTCACTTCTTAATGAACAAACTCTCCACCATCTCTAAATCAACTAAAGGAATGAAGGTGATTGGCATAGCTACATAGTTCGAATAACCCCAATGCCTAAACCAACAATACAGACAGAGGAATCTAGTCCCGTCCCTACACATGGTTCTATACAAATGTTCTTCCCATCTTACCATCATCTTTCTCACAGTTTTGTCGATATATAACTTCCTTGTCCCTGGGTTGATCAACACATATACACAACCTTCGACCTTTTCCCATACTTCATTATTATTATCAATCAAATCCAACCAATTCCCCAAAAATTTAATACCGCATTGGATCTCCCTACGTAATACTAACAAAACTATCAAATATCTAAGGACGAGCTCCGTCAACTCAGGTAACCTTCGAACCCGTACTGCGGGATCTGTCATAAATAGCTTACGTAAGCCCATATACATACCCAGATTTTCCCATAATTCACTGGTCTGGTGGATTACGACTCCCTACATCACCATCAACTATTTGGGGGTCCCGGTTGGTACCTCCTTCACCTCTCGGATGACCACTCCTTCTGTTCGTGGTATGGGTGAGGCGTTTCGTATAACAACTCCCACTCACCGTCTGGGTGGCAGTGTAGCCTGGGTGACGCACAACTCGATTAACTCATTCACCACCTCAGGTCAACCTCTGTATACGACTCCTGCTTCCTGACACATGGCCTCAATTGTGGCCTTAACCTTCTTACTCAAGTACCTCCTAATGACATTCCTAAACGATGTTACAATGTTGTATTCATCCACAGAAGGTGCATTTTACCAGAGGGCGGATTCCTTCAATGAAAACCAAAAATCCTCATTCCCTCTTGGCTGATGCTCTGGTACTTGCAGCTCCTCCCTTTCCGCGGTTCTCGGGGTTGTCGCGGACGCTCTTCCCACCTTCGTCGGAGCCTCCCCTTGAGGGCTAACCTGACATGCTTGAGTTGGTTGCCTCTTTCGGTTCTCTAACTTTTCCTTTGGTTCCTCCTCCTTTTCAGACATTGATTCCATCACTCTCACATTTTCTTACACTGATCTTTTCGAGATCACCATCTTTCGTAATCTTGTTCCAAACATCCACTCAATTCGTCTTTAAGTTATTCCTTCTGCTTCGCCAACAACATCTCCAGCTTCCATTCTCTATCTGCCTCTTTTTCCTCCTTCGCCTTCTCTTCTCCATCTCAATTCTGTTTCGCTCCTTCTTAGAGTCTTTCTCTTGTTCCGCTCGCTTCTTCCTTTCTTCTTTTGCCTTTTTCTCTGCCTCCTTCTTCTCTTCGAGCTCCATCTGTTTTTGTGTAAATCTACACATCTGTCGAATTCCTTCCTCCCAATCCTTACTGAGCCCAATGGCCATAGCGGCTTCATTCGTCCCTTGTCCTCCCCCTTGCTGGTTATTACTTTGATTAAAGTTGTCGTTCCCTTGATTATAATTTTCCTGCTTCCCTTGCCGCGGCACATTACATTCCTTGCTGATGTGACCGTATTAGCCGCAATTGTAGCACGACGCTGACCGTCTCCAGTTTCTACTGCTGCTTCCTTGACTCCCATTGTTCCCGTTCCATCCATTATCGTAGTTATCATTCCATTCATTCCTTCAATTGGCATTCCAACCATTCCCTCCACTACCACTCCTCTGCCCCCTCTATTCCCACCATTGTCGTTTCATCCATTACCTCCGTTACTATTCCACCCGTTTCCTCCATTACCGTTTGACCCGTTTCCACCATTTCCATTCCGCCCGCCATTCACACCGTTCCTTCTGTTCCATCCTCCATTATTCCCATTCCACACATCATTGCTTCCGCCTCTGTCATTATACCATCCCCCGTTGTTGCCAGCCCCTCCTCCTCCATTACTGCATGGAGCTCCTCCGTTACTGCATGGAGCTCCTCCGTTACCTCCTTGAATCTAATTCCCGCTATTCCCGCCGTTATTTCCACTCCCATTCCCGT